AGCCCGAGGTGGAGGGTTGGTCGCCACCAGAAAGCCGCGGTGAGTTTACAAGGAGCGGAGTTGGCCCGGGTACGGGGGTGGCCATCTGGTCCCCGTTAATGTTTAGCCCGCCGGGCGGGCCAGCGGGAAGGCGGAGGGGACCCTCTCTTTTGTTTTGGGTGTTTTTCCCTGTCTTCATTTAAAAAACGTACTATTCGGGATCGTGCCCGCCCCTCAAATTAAATGAATTAAATGGCTTTCCTGGGAAAAAAAAATTAAAAAAAAAATTTAAAAAGAAGCTAAACCGGAAAAAAAAAAAAAAAAAAGATAAAAGGAAGCACGGCAGCAGGCTGAGGGCATCGGCTCCTGCACAGCGCTGGGCAAGGGCTACCGGTGCTGGCGGCGGGGAGCCCTGGCCCTGATTGCGGCCACGCTGACAATAAATTACGAAAATACTACAAAATGCGGGTCGGGGCCCGCTAATAGAGCCGGTGCTGCCCTCTTTGCGGAGGGAGGCTTAAACCCGCGTTTTAGCACAATCGGCATTTTTGGGGACGCGGGGCGGGGGGTGTGCGGAGGGGAAGCAGTGGCCGTTCTCCCGGGTGCAGGGGCGGGCAGCGCTCGCCGGGCTGAGGGGCAGAAGCCCTCGTTTTGGTGGCCTGGTGGCCCCCCTCAGGTGTGCCGGTTGGCCCAGCCGGACTACATTTTCCATGATGCAATGTAAGTCGTCATCAGGGAGGTGCCCGGCCCCCCCCGGGAATGCCGGGGCCGAGCCCCGAACCCGCGCCCGGCTGCCCTGGGACCTGGCGTCTACTTTTTGTCACCCCCAAAAGCCCAGGCTGGAACTAGAGCTGAAAAGGGGATTGAAGGCCTTTTGCAGAAACTGCTTTTTTTATTTTTATTTTTTTTTTCCCCGTTAAAAATGGATGGGAAATTGAATTAACCGGATCAGACTTGCTGACTTTGATTTTTTTAAGATCAGCAGAAACCTGAAGATGGGTTTAGAATGTGCAGGTGCTGTTTTGTTTTTTTATTATGTATGTTAGTAAGCTCTTATTCAGTAGCACTAATTCGAATTTTCCCAGAGAAATTTTTTACCTCTAGGTATAGAACTTTTTTTTTTTTTTTTTCTTTTTCTGCTGTGAGTTGCTCATACTGAGAAAATGACTGATGGTTTTTAATTAAGGAGTTGAAACTGTGGACTACAGACAAGGCCTAGATGATGTTCTGCAGAGTTTATTTTTTGTATATACTAGTGGTTGTGTTTTTTCTTTGGGATCATGAGAGCTATCCTGTGGGTAAAAAATGAGTATAAAGCGATGCACGTGCTTCTGATTATAGACCATACGAAACAGTTACTCTTGAGGTGCCAGTTTCACAAGTCCACAGATCCCTCACTGGGGTGTTAGCTGGCTTCTTCCTCATTTTAGGTATGTAGTTTACAAGTGATCCACTGGATTTCTAACTCAAACTAAATTTTGGGGGTGTTAGGGAGCTTGAATGCTATAGGCCAGATATGAGGGTGTAGTACTCTCTTTTACTATTAATTTGGTATTGATTTCAGTATTTCTGAGGGCAGAGAAATGGAACATGTAGAAGGTAAAAAAGAAAAACATCATGATTGCATGTGTATGAGAGCAGAGGAAAGTTATATCTAATTTTTGCCCCATCACTTACTGTTTGTTAATGACTGTTCACATCTTGAAGCAACTTCTATGTTGTCCTAGTGCTATTTCTGTTCTAAACAAGTGTCTAGGAAATAAGTAAAAATGCTCTTCTAAATTGGGTAATGGCTGTTCTTTACCATGTCTTAGCCACCTGCTGCAATGAAAATAACACACTAATGCCACTGGAAGAATTCTTCCTGTCATAGTAAAGAAACTTTAGAGTAAAAAATGAGAAGTAAAAATAGAGGAATGCCAATGAAAAGCGAAACATCCACAATTAGCAGAAGTAACCCATGTGTCAGTTATCTTAACTTAGTCATTCTTCTGTCTTTTCAGATCTGGGCTGAAATAATTTAATTAACTTAAGCAACGCCAGAGAAAAGCAGGTGGAAAAGCCCATAGATGCACCTCTTTTGTCCATCTACCACTCAGCAGGAATAGCTACTTCCCATTAAGTCTATGAATATTAATAGCTACAGAGGATGCTGGTGAAGCTTTTTTATTTCTAAGCTAGGGAGCCCTTGATGAGGCATCTTCCACCATAAGCACCAGGTGTGCTGCTTCTTGGGCTCCCTTGGCAGTGGTGTAGCACCACAACAACAATTGCAAATTATCATCTGAGGTCGAAGTGCCTTTCTCCTGCCTCTGTTGCCCCTGGAGTTCCTTTAATTTTCTGAAAGCAAGTGGGGAGATGTGTTAACTCCAGGGAAGAAATTAAAGTGCGTTGAAGACACACACAAACTGGATTTTAGTTTTAATTAGTGTTTCTTTCGGTGGATGTTCTTCTTGCGGAAAGACCTTGCTGAGATGAGCATTCGTTTCCTCTTTTTCTCCCTCATGGTTTTAGGAGGACCTATGCAGAGAGGAAGGAATGGCTGCAAAACACCGTCCTTAACTTGGTTAACTTCCTGCACATAATCAAAGGCTATTCTATGAGCTTTGGGAAAATATCCTTGGCCACCACTCAGTGAGGTTCCTTCTTAGTAGTGTTTCAGTGCATTAGGCCACTTGCAGTCAGTTTTGCCCATTCCAGTAAAACATATAGGGCTTGAGCATTCTACTAGTTGGGCTAATTTAAAAGCAAGATCACATACAGCCGCACAGTTGTCTTTGTATGAAGAAAGCAATGGTCTAAATGTAGAAAAATGGATGGCAGGCAAACTAATGCTGGCCAACACAAGTCACCCTGGTGGTTAAAACTTATCTGAAAAGATGAGGCTCAGCATTCCTGCACTGAAGCTGGACAAGAATCTGGATTCGTGCACTGTGTAAAATATTTCTAAATGTTGGACGGGTAGAGGGTCAGGGATGAAGAGGTGAAAACTTGGGAAGGGAGTCTAGAAGGTTCTCTGAGCTAGAGCTTTAAGAAAAAAAGAAAAATTATTTGAGATGACAGCAGTAAAATAATCAAATAGAAGAGCGACTGATGGGCCTACTGAAACAGCTGAATTTACAACACTAAACCAAGTCTTTTTTGTCCTGTTTCTTTAAGCCTGTTTAGATATCTGGGCACTTCAGTTCTTATAAGAAAGCTATAGGTTTTATGGATTCCAAATATATTCTAACATTTATCATTTGAAAGGCTGAAAACAGTGCTGTAGGTAAAGGTAACGAATAACACTGCACTTTGCAGTCTAGCGACTCTGGAAATTCAAATACAGGAAAAACAAAGTAGTGATGAGTGTCAGTGAAGTTATCATCTTAAGATTGGTCAGCGAAGAAAATAGTGTAGTTGGTCAACATCTTCAGTTTTATTATGTTTTCTTAAAATAGTTTCCTTCATTATGTTCAGAAACTATTTTTAACTTATGGAGTTAAAAAAAGAACATTTGCCTTTTACTAGCCTTTTAAATCAAATACTCTAGGATAAATATTGCCAGCTCTTTAGAGTCTCTCTATTAAAGTGAAAATAAGCCAGCAGCACTGAATGAGCCCTTTCAAAGTCCAGCTTTTTATTCTAATTAAATTCCACGATGATTCCAAAGCTAGAGTCAGAGGCTAGAATCTGAAAGCTATTAGGAAAAAGTACTTAAAATACTAAGCGTGCTTTACCAGTCTTCTAAAATAATGAAAAGAGACAAACATCTTAATTTGAGCTAAATCCTCTTGACATTCATTTCTGTGTCCTCTGCCTTTTTGTGGCTTGATACTTGATGTATGAAGTCATTCTGAGATGGACTGAAGGGGAGGGCATTGTGTGTGCCAGAGTCCCAGAGCTGTGTGAATTAATGCTGCTCTGTATTTCCTCAAGGAATGAGCACATTCAGTTTACATTTATTGAGAATAGACCCTGGGAATGAATTACTTCTTCCTTATAAGGAGCCTTGTGTGGGAATATCTGTTGGGACGGTTTAGCTCACTGCTAAGTTGCTAAGGATAAAAGCATCACTGTTGCAAGTAAAAAGATAATGTGCAAGTGACTTCTTAAAATTAAACATGCTGAGCTGATTTTGAGAGTTCAGAATTTAAATATCTTGGAATAGAAGACTAAGAGTGACTCACCTTTCTTCGGAGTTTTAACTTACCATTTGTAAAAAGTCAAAACAGAAAATCCAGTCTTTGAGAGGAATCCAGATTTGACATTCCTCTGGGTTTTTTGTGACCCTCTATTGATCTGAGTTGCAGAACTCATGAACACTCAAGGTTAACACTGTCATTCCTCTCACAAGATTTTGTAAACGTTATTTTTAAAGGATTGTATTTTTCTAATGTTGAAATAAGAGCAAATCTGATGAAAATTTCAGGTTTTAAAATAACTTTCATATAGCTATTTTCTGTGTTTACTAGAAGTACATACACTAAATCATGGTAAAGTGGTTAAAAAAAAAAAATTCCTCGAGGCTTTATCTTCTTCTGGTCAGATGTCTTCCACCAAAAACATGATAAGCCAATTCAGAAGTTAATCAGGAGGAAAGTGCCACTGATCAGTCTACCAGCATGTATGGGAACATCTGTACAGTCTACAGAAAGTGAAGTGGACTGGTGGTCTAAAACAAAACATTATTGGACTGCCTTCTTGTGGATAAGCACCCTATACTAACAAACCCGCTTCTCCTCCCTTTAAATGGCACTTTACTTCAGACTTCCTTGCATTAGACCAGATAACTACTTTGCTGGAGCTGGCAACATAATAATTCTCAGGCAGAAACTGCACAAAGAAGGGCATGCAAACCTCAGTCCACAAATCTCAGGAAAAAAAGGCATTGCTTACCCAAATTTTCACTTGTGGCAAAGAAGGACAAACAGCATATACTAAAATTCTCAGAAGTGCGTTTCCTAGGGTGCTAAGTGCTGGTAGAACAGCTTTAAAGCAAAAACAAACAAACAAAACCTCCCCAAAACCCTCTTTCTCCTATTTCAAGAAGATTAATTCAAGTCCAGATTCATTTGTGATAGCAAGAGAGCTGCACTTACAGGGGAACAGCTTAAATATGCCAAAAACTGAAGGTCCTGCCTATGCACTCTAGAGATATGGTGCGTATCAGCAGGACCCTTGCTGTGCTGGTGCCTTGGTGTCTCCACCAACACAGCCAAGACAGCAAGGAAGAGGAAGGTACAGCTAGCCGACCAGCTATTGCTTCGGATATTTGCCAGTCTCCTGAGAACTTCTCTGCCTTTGTAAATTATAACTGAGGACCTGCAGAAAGTATGAAGGCAGAGGTAGCTGAACAACACTTTAATGGTTCCTGTTTAAACAATGGGCATTATTTCATAAAGCTCCAGTACGATGTCTGCCTCCCCTAGTTTGGTCACCGGTGATTGTGTTTAGCAAGCTGGGAAAATGGAGCCGGACTTTAAATTTTTTTTTCTTAAAGTCTATTTAAAATTTTATTCCTACTGGTACTTAAATTATTAGTTTACAAGTATGTGAACAATATTGCAAAGCTGCCTGTAACTTTGCTGGTACTGAAACACCCAGTCAAGATTTACAGAGAACTCTTTTCTTGCATTGTATCAGAGGCAAACTTACAAGGTAGTGCTCTAAATATGAGGGCTTCTGTAGAATTCAGACACCTTATGAAATTAGAGATTGAGATTTTTCTGTATGGCAGAAAAATGATGCTGTGCCATCTGGTTGAGCTTCATTTGGTCAAAGAGGACTATGCACTGAGGAGTAGTGACTGAAGACCCAGTGTGAGGGTATAAAATTTTCGGGAGTTGTTTTCACTTTCCCCACCCCCACCACCCACCCAGATTTCATTTTCTATTTGTGTCTGTACAGCAGTATTTGGTGTCAACGCCATCATTAAGGAAAGTGTCTTTTAAGTACTTTTGCGGGTTGGGTTTAACTAAGTAAAACTTGGATATTTGGCCAAGGGCTTTAGAGAGTATTTGAATTTTTGTGGCCCAAGTGCTAATTAGACTGATGTGTACAATCAGCTTTCATAGTTAAACACAGCTTACCAATGTATGTCTTGGGTGATGCTGATGCACTTTCACCTTTACTTTATACCCCAACTGCAAGTATTTTCATTGACTATTTGCCCATTTCTATCCCTTCTTTCTCTTCCCCATCTTCCTCTGACCATACTTTGTATACTGTACTGCTCTGTCCCGTAACGCCCCATAAACTTTCCAATCTGCTCACCTTCCTTCTTCCAATTCTTCCTGTCCTGTAGTCTTGGAAATTGCACCAGCACTAATGTCTCAACCTAAGCCTTGTAATCAAATTCAGAAGACAGAGATGAGCTATGGTTAGAGCTCTGCAGTGAAATTCATCAGAAAAAACAGTACTACTTCTACTCCGGTAGCTTCAAAGGTTTCACTGGAATCTCTTCCTTGGAGCAGTGATTTTTATTATTTTTTTTCCCTTCTACTGATCTGTCACTGAACAACATCTAACATTTGAAGTTCCTCTGAATACCAACATCTAACTTTTGAAGTTGGTCTGAATAGAAACGGAGAGCATTCTTCTTTTTCCTCTTTTGTGCTCCAGGGGTTAAGATGAGCTGAGAGATACGCCTCTGCTGCACTTGGCCACTTGGAATAACAGTGGCACAATGTACTCTTATATTTCGAGAAAGTTAGTGCTTTGAGCCTCTTCCAAAGGGGTATTAGGAGTTGCAAGAATTTGGCAGTTTTACTACTGAAAAGGAGGGGACCCCTTGATATTTAGTACGTATCCATGCTTCTTTGCTTCAGTGAATTGGGCAGGACTTATGAGACAGCTGTCTTACTGCTAGACACTGTCCTCTGCTGCGCTGTGTTGGGGTCCTTCTGAGGGAATGAATAGATACAGGCACCGTGTGTGGTGTGATTCAAATGCTTCAGGAGATAACTGTGTGAGATACTGGGACTACAAGCTTAGGCAGATCGCCATCAGTCATCCTGCGGACGTTGTGATCCATGGGCAGGAGGGGTACAAATCTCTTCTGGTGTGTTCATGTGAAATAGATTATTTTTTTTTTAGTGGTTCCAAAAAAATGGGGCCTCTGGGCAGGAACAGATCTCTATGGAGCCTCTGAGTTCATCCAGTTGTAGTCAAGATCTGGTGCTATGTTGTTGCTCCTCCAGTCTGAGCAGATGGAAGAATCTGTCCAGTAGCCTAAATCAGAACTGTAGTAATTATAGTATGTGCTTTTCAGAGCTTTGTTACAGACGGCACAAAAATCACCTTTTTCTTCTGTGGTTTCAGTGGTTCTGAACAGCAGCAGCAGCAGCAAAGCTTGGGCACGGTTTTCACCGTGCTCAGGGCAGCAGGGCAGGCACCAAAACTCTCCATATGCACACTAGGACAACTAGTACTGGGTCAGCTTGCACCCTTCTCCCATCTTTCAATTTATCTCTGCAGACATAACAGCCTTGATTTTTGTATTTCAAAACAAAAGTTACTGGCTGCAGTTGAGTGGCTGTTTATGAAGTTCCCTAGGAAAGCTAGAGATGTCATCTTTAAAAAGGAGGTGAGAAGTCACTAAGATATGAGTTGGGAGTGGAAGAACTGAGGAAGAGAAGGGCAGACCTAATGCAAGTAAGATTTGAAGGATGAATGTATAAACCCAGTCCCTTGCCAACTCCACCCTCTAAATGGCATTCACTGCCAGGGAAATTGGATCCACCCTGGACTGTTTCTAGCATCAGGAAAATCCTCCTAAAATAGCTTTGGGCCTTGCAAAAGTTGCAGTTTCCTCTCCCAATAATTGATGCTGTGGTGACAACCTCCATCTGGTACTCATGAGTCGCAGTCACCACATCTGCTAAGGGGAAGAAGGCAACTTTTTCCCTTTGCTCAGAATCTCTTGCCATGTCTGCAGTGATGGTCCTAGGAGTGAAAAATGTCTTGCTGAGTTTGAGCACTTCTTAAAAGGGATGGTGTCCCCTGTACTGGCAACTTGGAAATGAAACCGCGATCTCTGCTTACTCAGATTTTTAGAAGTGTAAATGAAGAGGAACCACTTAAAGAGTACCTGGGGATTAGTCTAAGTTGTGTTATTTTCATTGAATATGGGTTTATTTCATACTGTTTACTAAATGGAGAGTATAACCATAGCAACATTCCTGACATGCTCTGTATGGATCTGCCAACATGATATTGAAATTAGCATTCAGAAGAGAACTGCTTGAAAGTAGCTTGAGAACTGAAAAATCATGTTTCAGACTACAGTCCGGATAGGAATACACTTGAGCATCTGCAGACTGAAGATGATGCAACATTTACTATTTTGGTTTACACTGATCTCAGCAAGAGTATTTGTGGTATCATTTGTATAGATCTTACCTTACCAGCATAGTGGTATAAATGCTAATATCTAGTGGTGATTCTGACTAACCCCATAGCAACCATAATTTTGTGTGAAGTATACTTAAAAAATGCAAATACTGCTAGCCTTTTATGCTTGACTGTAGTGCAAAGATAGTTAAAATCTTTTTTCCAAATTTACTCTGAAGAAAAATTAAGAATGCCAATTCCCAGACAAGATGAAGGTTCTACTGTCTGCATATAAAGGAAAAATGGTGTGGGGTAAATGGGAATGAGGAGGAGAATATAGAAGGAAATTCTAGATCTGAGTTAGTCCTCTGCTGTCCCAGGGATAAACTGTTGATAAACTTAGTCTAGTAAGTATTTTTTGTTGTTGCATGTTGTGATGTTCTTGCAGAAGTCTTTTATATGGGAAGTTATGGTCTGACAGAGTGGAGGTGGATTGAATAATAGCTTGCTGCTTCATGTCTCTCCACAGGTCACTTCTTTCTGAAAGGAGTGGAGTCAACGTAACTACAGCTTTCTCACTGAGTCATACCAGCTGTTGCAAGTAATGCTGAACAAAAATAATTCCCCGGTTACTCTGCCTGTGCTTTTGCCTGTGGTTAACTTCACTGTTTTTGTTTAAGTCAGTTTCTTCTTTGGTGTGCATCTGTGACATAGCAGGAAAGATGTGCCTGTGTAAGTAAGCTTCACAAGTCGTTTAGGAGATGTATAGGAAAATATAGAACTGCTTTTAAGTAACTCTTGAAAGTTGGCTAGATTTTAAGCTGACTCTGCCCTTTTAACAGATGCTCAGAAGAGTGACTGCTCTTTATTGCCTCAGCATACCATCTTGGGATAACACATCAGCCAGTCTGATGGAATATTTTATGTAGAGTTACTACTTCCCGTGAGTCATTGCTGAAAGTGGCAATTACGTCTGCAAGAACACAGCATCATTCATGTCCCTTGCTAGAAGTCGTACATTAGGGGGGGGTTGTGTTGGTCCTAAGAATCATAGAGTTCTATAGAAGTGTTGCTAGTAAGACACAAAAGACTGAATAATTACTTCTTTTTTTTTTTTCTGTGTTTGAGCATACAGTTGAACCCCAAACTTCTATCAGTCTGCAAGGTGAGAAAACACATCCTCTTCCAGCAGTGACTCGGCAGCGTGTTAGCCATCAAAGCTAGGTTTAAAGTAACATGTTCAGATAACTTTAATTCAGTGTTTGTGTTCAAACTGATCAAACAGCAATCTGTATTGCTACTGTTTGTTTTCAGTAAATTTGAAACTGGGAAAGACAATCCAGAGGAGTTGATGAAGTTTAAAGTACTGGCAATAAAAAGAGTAAAAGAAGACAAGCCAGATGATTACTGGGTAATATCCATGTAGCCAAAAAAATGTATAACTGATAGGTAATCTGTTAAAGGAAAGCAGTAAAGCTAATGTTCATGGGTATATGAAAAACAGATCTGACCACAGTTTTATTAAACACACTTGACAAAAAATACAGTGTTGTTTAGTGTTTGTGTAATACTTAGACTTCTTCAAAACATTTTGACTTACCACTCCAGGACACTTTTTATATTTCATGCTAATTTAATAATTATGACCTATTAATTACTAGAATATTGGTTAACTGCCAGCCAAAAACAAAATAGTAAATTGAGGGTGCTAACGGAGCGAGCATATTCATATTGGGGTTATTTTAGGAATTGCTTTTTGCCATGCGTTATTTAGTATTTCTTTTAAGTTAAATGAGAGATTGTACAAAGTTATTAATGATACTCATAGATGACCCAAAAAGATTGGGGCTGTGATAAGCAACAAAGACAAGTAATTGATGCAGTCCAGATTACTTTATTAAATAAGTTGCAAGCAGACAAGTGTTTTGTGACTAGCTATTAAGCAGTACATCTGTGAACAGTGGAAGACAACTGTCCTGTTTGCCTGTACTTTTGGTCTGCCTGCCAAATACCAGAACTCAAGAATGGAGAAGACACTCGAATTTGGAGCCATTGAAGGTCAGTTGAGCAAGGTATTCTCAAAATAAAGTTATGTACCAAACACAGCCTTTGGTTTTAGGGGAGTCTAAGCCTCCAATTTGTTTTCCTGGGCTTCTGTGTATATCATGGCTCTGATCATCTCTAAAGCGTTCAGTTATGTTACATTGTCGTGGATGGAGTGATTAACTTCACTAGTTAGAGTGAAGCAGAGAAATATTTATTAAGGTGAAACAGTGATTTAACAAAACCAGTAGTGTGATAAAACCAGTGGTAAATGCGATAGTGTTTTACGAGATTCGATGTCAGGGTACACTCTATTATTTACTGCACAGAGGACAGGGTCAGACAGAACTGTCAGGGAGACCCTCCCGTTGAGCCACGAGGTTCAGAAAGGACCCCCTTGCTTCCTAAACTCCTTCTCAGAGAGGAGTCTAGGTGCGGCTGGGTCCAATCCTAGTCCCAGACTTGGTCAACGGTTTATGTCTAAAGGATTATATATGCACAATTAACCCTTTACATTACTTAGATAAAATTTCAAAGCTTAGCATGCTATTAGTCAGTTACCGAAACTCTGTTGCGGCAAGGATTCCCTCAACCTCGAGGAGGAGAACCGGGAATTTGTTGCGGCAAGAAATCTCTCAACCTCGAGGAGTAGAACCTTCAGTGAGCATCCTCACCAAAGGGGAGATCCTGGCGTGCAGCCCGCTGCCATACAGGAGAGCTCAAAGGGCTCTTGGGCTGTCCACTGTTTATACAGTAAGATAATTGACCTATAGTCATATTTTTATGGCAACAAAATTTCTAGGTCCCCTCTCCAGACAGTATTTTGACTATGCTGCCAGCCATCCCCCAGAGTTTGGGTACAAGTTATCACAGCTGCTGTTGTGATGGCCATGGTGGCCAAGGCCGGGCAGGAGCCGAGAGGGAGAGGGGGGGCAAACCAGGGAGAGCACACTGCCACACTCCACCCCGTGACTATGGTCAATTTATCTTACCTTCACAGAGTGGTGGTGTGGTCACCTCTTGCCTCTGTGGCATAAATAGTATATTGATAGTTGTTTACGCTCAGAGTCACGGTAAGTAGACAGTATAGCACTGCTATTTGTTATTTGCCAATTTGTATGTTTTGGGTGGTTGTAGTTGGGTTATTTGTTTGGTCAAGTACCAGATTTTTATATACAGCATAACTATAAGCATCAAACATATTAAAATTAGAATCAGCAAGATAACAATTGGGTGAAGCATACGATTAAACAGTCCCGTTGCTGTTGGTGACCATCCAAGAAGAATTTCCCACCAATGGTGTTTTCCATCCTTCCTCATTCTTTCGAAGACATGGTGTATCTCTTTTGTATCATGCTGAACAGCGATTAGAGTTTTGTGTCCATTGTTTAGGATTCATTCTAGCAGCTGAGATAGGTCATCGTGTTGTAGAAGTTTCTTCACCAATGTAAGATTCATTACAATGGGGCTAGGTAACAAATCTCGAATCAATGTATAATTAGATTTTAGCCATCGATAAGACATAGCAGGAGCTGAATAATTAAAGTCACATTCTATAATTCTAGTAAAGTTACAAACACAAACATTTGAGTGATTACTTGTATCTATGGTAAGGTTATCTACAAATATAGTACTACAAAGGGTTCTGATACAAACACATCATTTTCCAGTACACATAAGTACAGGGGTTTCATTGAGATGTATTTCAAAATGACAAACATTCTGTTCAATATCAAGACAAACATCTTGGGCTTTGATGGTGTTACTTTCACTATGGCCATTCTGGTGTTCGTTGACCACAGGTTAGGAGCAGCGTTGTCGAGGTTTAGAGTATCAGCACAAACACAGCATTTCCATTTGACATCTTGTAGTGCTGTAAGAGAGAGAAAAAAAAAAAAGCTTGTTTCGGCGGGGAGAGTCCGAACAGGTTACCCCGTTAAGAAGAAGAGAAAAAGAAAAAAAAAATCCACCGCGCGCTAATTCTGTGTTTTGTACCACTGCTGCCAGTAGCTTCCCAGGCACATGGGTCACGATTAAAGTCATAGGCATAACACCTATGGCTGGTAAATTGACCATCACAGGCTGTCCTGGCTGTAATGTTGTCAGATATTCTCTTTTGTCAGTGGATGGGGCACTGAGCTCAGTTTTTATAAAGAATGCTCGGCTTATAGGGCTTCCATAAAAACAAACTTTTCTTTATCCTCCCCCCTCAACGGAACCAAAAAAAAAAACCAAACCATATCTTTTATGTCCAGTGCTGCCTCCACGGATGTGCAGCTGCCTGCAGAGTAGCTGTTAAGGTTGCAATGTTTGGTACAGGGGCTGTTAGTGGGGCTGTGTTAGCATTCAGATGGTGGTAATCAACTGTTAAACGCCACCTCCCATCTGGTTTCCGAACGGGCCAGACAGGTGAGTTATATGGGGAGTGGGTTCCGGAGATAATTTGTCTTTTCTCTAAATCAGCTATGACTTCAGAAATGCCCTCTCGTGCCGCAGCAGAGATGGGACACTGCGGTACGTTAGTGATCTTGGACTCGGGGAGCACAGGGGCTGCGGGGAGCACCCGCACCACCGCTTCCTGGTTTCTGCATGGGGTAAGGTCTGTGTTTGAGCCCAAGGACCGTACACTGCCATCCGGCAGGCACCAGGTTCTGCTGTTTAAAATATCAAAACCTAAAATATTCTCATAATGAACTTTAATTGCAAAGCGATTAGATGACATGCGTTTCTCGCCCGGGAGCCATAAACTAACTTTAGCAGTTGGACATAAATCAGTTCCCCCGTTCACACCTGTGATTCTAACTTTTCACCGTCTGGATCACACACCCAGCTTCTTGGCATCTTGTTGTGTTAATGTAGATATCTGTGCTCCCATATCTATCAAAAATTTTACTAATTGTCTTAAAGGACCAACTGGAATTAGTATGTATGGGCCATTTATCCACTGATAAGCTTCTACTTTCTGGACAGGCAGTCCCAAACGTCTTCTGGACATCACTCGTTTTTTGACTGTGTGTCCTGCAAGTCCTCCTTAAGAGGAAGAAAGGGATTATTCCCCTTCAAAGAAGTTGAAATACAGTCTGTGTTTTCACCACTATCTCGTTTCTGGAATGTTTCAATTAGCCACAAGATATCACCAGTAGGCCGACCTTGAATCATGAATCTGGGAATGCCTAGTGCTATTGCTTTCCTTCACACTTCGTTCCTTGTCTGTGTTTGCAAGTTTTTACTTCCCTTTGATTTAATTTCTATTCCCTGTTTCACGAGCCTCACTTTCTGATCTCCTCGCTGAAATTTGTGTCTTTGTTTTTCAAGTGCTGCAGCATCCCAGCCTTTCTCACGGCTGTAGTTAACAATGTCCTGTGTTAATTCTGCCCGAGTGGGAATTCGTCTGGGGGGATGATTGCCCTGTGCATTAAATTCGGTGTCTCTTCTAATGTCATCCCGTTTTTCGACTAGTTGGGATTTAAGAACTGCTGGGGCTCCTCTAATTAATGGTTTTAACATTTCAAAATTTACTGTAGCAGAGAGTGGAATATCATGTTGTCCTTTTTCATGCACGGCTTGTATGCAAGCGGCTTTTGTGATAGTTGTAGGTAGCTCACTTAAAGATTCAATGGGGATTAGAGAGGGCTCACCCCGCTCCAGAATATCAACTCCTCCAGCCCAATAAGCTACTCGGCTGGTGATAGAATGGGGTGTATCTGCTGGGTCGGGTCCCGGACCCCAGTACCCATTGGCTTCATCCTGGCTTAACATTATTCGATCGCCACCAGTTAAGCATACTCACCACAAATACTGAGTTTCAGATTCACAAGCATTTCTGCTATATTTCTCTTGCAAATTTGACAGTTGTAACGGATCCCAGGGGCTGGTTCGCATAGTATTCTGTGGATTACCACCCCAAGGTCCTGTAGTTATTTCTGTTTTGATAACAGGTCTGGCTTCATATTCAGGAGGAGCTGTGGGGAATGAAGGAACGTCTTCTTCTGACTTGCTATTATTGGGACCACCCTAAATGTCTCCATCCCAATCTTCAGGGGATACTATTAATTTCTTAATCTGTACAATGTCAGGGGGTGGGGAGCCTGTATAAGCATCATTTCAACCTTTTGTTCCAATTTTTGCATTTTCTCCTTTTGTTCCTGCAGTTGTTCTCGCAGTTGTTTATTTTCAACGTACAGGAGTAACTCATTTGCCCTCCTGCTCTCTAAATGCGGCTTCCAAACAAGTGCCTAACATTTTGCAGATGACTCTCTTATCTTTTCCATCCTTTGTATGGCCTCTAACTTCTTTTAAATGCTCTTCAACAACTTTCCAAATATATTAATTATCACGAGCCCAATCCTCTGAGAATTTGGGACTCGGGTACACTCCATGCCTCCGTAAATAATCAGTGATAACGCCTGACATCCTGCCGACTACGCCAATTGTCGCGGACGGAGTGATTAACTTCACTAGTTAGAGTGAAGCAGAGAAATATTTATTAAGGTGAAACA